CCTTCAGCATGAGCTAACATGGCCTTAAAAACTATTTTGACGGAAACATGTGTTGGTTGTAATGTGGGGGGAGAGGCGAGGAAGGAGGGAGAGGCAAGGAAGAAACAGATCAAGAGCATATAAGTGTATCAGTCATCTCTAACCTTTTCACCACCAGTTCCCTCTTTTCATCACAAATTCAAAAATAGTTGGGTTTATAGTCTTTATAGCACTTTCCTTAAAGGGCGGTAGTCAGGCTAAGCATGTGCGGCATTCGTGTTAATAAACATTGGTTTTCCCCACAATCAAATACGCTCTTTCAGAGGACATCACAAGTTCACAAGTTTTGACCTTGGCACTACGTGAACTAATCACCATCATTAACTCTTCGAGACCTTCCAATCACAAAAGATTTTACTTAGTTAAAGCTTGATAACGTATCAGTTTTTTACGTGTCGGTTCATGCAACAGTCAAAGTCTCTATCTTTGTTCATATATGAGACCAATATCTCGCGCATGCGTGGCGGGACGACCACTGCCCGTTAAGACGATTGGGACAAAAATAGCCAAATATTTTGAGTAAAAACTGAAAATTGACTCAAATTGGTTCATTCCCGGAAATATTAAAAATTACATAAAATAGTACAGAAAATGTGTGGGCGAGAAAGTCTAGTGGTGAAAAGGCTAAATCTAGAGAGTAATATGTGTAGTGCTCTTAATCATAAATCTCAGCTTGCACTGTATTGGTTGATTGCATGGGGTGATCTTACTCCATTTATATATTGAAGTGGGTGGGGCAGTTTTCATAACCAGCATTCCGGATATATGGTCAGATGTGTTACAACATGATTAGTTCTCCTGGATCTGTTCCAAAAGCATATACATTGTATATCATGCGTCTAATTTTAAATTGCCAACATTACTTTTATCATTGTTTATTGCTGTTTTTATGTTTATGATAGCAACACAACATATTTACACTAGTAACACAACAACTTTGTGCTTGTAACACAACATATTTATGATTTAACACAGCAACTTTATACTACTTACATGGGTTTTTCTAGAAAAAAACTGCAAGAGGGAGCACTGTAATTCTGTGGTGCCACCAAGGTGGGAGAGATAAGGTTCTCTCTACCAAAGTGTGGAGTTTTAATAATTCTAAGTTAAAATGGAGCATTCTATATGGCTTCCTTGGGGCCAAAATTACTATCGGACAGGTCACAGTTGAAGACTCTGGCCACATGTGATCCCTGGTCAATCAGAATTTGATGGTTGCCAGAGGATCTACTCCCTACTGCACACTGGGCCCCTGTTCCCTTGTTTAAAAAAATTCCTGACTTATATTAATCAGAGCTGGAAACTCACCGAGTTCATTCATTTCATTCAATGGCTTAACATGTGATAGATATGCTCTGCAAAAATACTTCATGTACAACATCATAACATAAATTTCATTTCAAAGTACATTTCCTCTCGTTGCTTAGGTTAGAGCATTGGGGCAGGTTCACTGTCGAGTGCATTTTTGTTTGAAAAATTTGTCTTGTTTTTGTTTTTTCAGCCATCTGGATTCTTATGTGGAAAGTTATGAAGCTCCGTATGATCAGATTTATTATACAACATGTACAGATGTACTTAGTTGGTTCAAGTGTACCAGACGACGGTAAGAGTGCCCTCATATGCCCATGATAGTTAATCTGTCTTTTTTTCTTTTTCTTTTTCTTTTTCTTTTTTATAAAGAATGACATTTTTCTGTTTGCCAAATTCTTTTTTAACCTGAGCATCGGTAGTATCTTCTTGCGGTCCTGATGAAAAGTTTGTTGCTAAAATTCAGAAAAAAAATTAATTCATAGATTTTTGGTTCTCCTATTTCTCTGTTCTGACATTGAAGTTACCGGTAGTTCACTACAATTGGAATATCACAAAAAATCAGAATTCAGAGAATTTTGAATATTAGTGTAAGTTATCCATGGAATAAATTATGATTATGTCGTGTGTGTTTTCTTGAAAACACATTCTTTCTCCGTAAAAACTGACAAATATGAATGACTTGCATGTAAGTGAATCATCAGCAGAACTACCTTAAGATTAATTCATTTGAATTTATAAATCCCTGAATTTGAATATATTAGTTTGTACTTTGTTGTAGATTTATTGGTGTTATTTAAAGGGTGGTGGTCGTCGCACCTTGTCTTGTTTGACTCATAGCGACGTACACAACTTGTGTAAAATACATTGTTTGTTTACATGCAATTGGAACATGTGCTGCGCAATGACAACCATCCTTGAACTATTGATGGCCAAAATGTACATAAATATGTAGTAGGAAATATGTCAGAGTCTTTGCATTTTTGCTTTTGAGTTTGTTGCATTTCATTTGCTAATGCTTGTTACAAATTATTGCAGGCAAAAGTGATTCAGAACAATGGAGCATCTTAAATGTTTCCTCCATGTTTGTATCCACAAATACAATGCAATAAACTCAACTCAACCACCTTCGGTATCATCGCCAAGTATAACATTAAAAACAGTGTAATTCAATGTTTGGTTCACAGACTTATGTACCGAACAGAATACCGCCAAGCTTTCCAAACAGTTTACACTAGGGATAAAGTCTGCTGTGATGGCTATGCAGAAAATGGAGATATTTGTATTCGTAAGTATACCATCATAACTTTGCAGTTTTCGCCATAACCACTGCCGTTATATAATAATTTAGTGATTCAGCGCTTTCCTTACCATATATATAAGCACAGTAATGTTTCTCTTCCTGTTTATGTTATAAGGGGTTTTTCTAGAAAAAAACTGTGCAAGAGGAAGCACTGCAATTCAGCGGCACCACCAAGTGGGAGAGATGGGATGTGGAGTTTTTTATAATTCTAAGTTAAAATGGAGCATTCTATGGCTTCCTTGGGACCAAATTTACTATCAGACAGGTCACAGTTGAAGACTGTGGCCACATGTGATCCCTGGTCAATCAGAATTTTATGGTTGCCAGAGGATCTGCTCCCCTGGGTAAAGGGGCGCATGGCCATGGCATGAGGGTGCTGCACCCCTGTTTCCTTGTTTAAAAAAATCCCTGGTAATCTAATACGGAAATGGTCATTGTGACCATGTTGTGTTCAATATGGGCTATCCAGACCAATATCAGCCAGGAAATTTAATTTTCTGGCCATGTGCCAAAATGCTCCTAAACCTGAAATTTCAGAAGCAATATCATTTCTTGAGTAAAAGCTAATAAATTCAACATGTTATGTAATCATGTATATAAGACACCTCAGCAAGTGACTGTAAAATATTGGATCTGTTGCTATAATTGAGTTTAGTCAGTGTTTGAAATTGAAATTACAACTCAGTGGGCTGATGAAAATATCAAGTTACTGAATTCTGTGGTCTGGCAGAATTTTTGAGAAAAGAAATTAAATGTCTACGGATGTATGATTGTTGTCAAAATTATGTACCTAGAGGTCTGATGCGAAATGTAAAACAAGGTATAAACAACAACAATTCATGAACGATGCATGTTTTAGCGAACTCTCACACTATGCATGATTTGAATTCTCACACTATGCGTGATTTCAGTGAACTCTCACACTATGCGTGATTTCAGTAAACTCTCACACTATACGAGAGTTCCAGTTGACCCGACCTTTTCAGAGCTGGATCTAGAATCAGATTTTTCTTACTTGAATGAAAGTCACTGCAGTGACACTGATTGAATGAATACGGAATGATTGAAAGCAAATAAAATATTGCAAACATAAACGAGGCTGGTAAATTTTTAGCATGGCAGGCAAGTTTTTAAAGTTACCTGCCCTGTTGTCTGGAAAACTAATGTAAAATACTTTATTTTCACTTGGAATTTATTTTCGCTGAAGGAATGATTCAGTGAAAATACAATCCAGCGAATATACTCCAGAAAGTTTCTTCAATAAAATTAATTCCAGCTAAAATAAAGGATTTTACAGTATTTTGACAAATTTCAAACACTGGTGTAGTAGATTTTGTATTTATTACAGTTGATGACAGCAACTTGAGATATTTACATCTTTTTTTCTTTTCCAGCTCTATGCAATGACTGTGACACTCGACATGGTACTTGTATTCGTTCTGATGTGTGTGAATGTGATGCAGGTTACCATGGCAATGACTGCTCAAGTAGTAAGTTATTTTTTCATTTACAAACCAGTGACTTTAAAACTAAGTGACATTAAATCTAAACTTATACCCTGTTGTGTTAACTATGCTAGCTTGAACTTGAGGGCACCCAATTTTAAGGCCAAAATAAATTTCTAAACTCTGATCAAAAGTTTAAGGGAAATATTTGATAATTTTGATGAACTTCAAAGCATTCCAGGCCCGCATCTATTTTGAAAAACAAAAACTTTCAGCCAAACTGGTCATCAAGTCACTGTTTTGTCTTATAAATGCATGAGTAATAAAAAATAATGTTTATTTCTAAAGTACAGTAGGCCACTGGCCCTAAG